ATTTTTCATGCATGATTGTTTAGAATTAAAACAGAACATTAAGGGGATAATCACAAATAGTGTACCCTCTTCAGCCTAGTGCCGGCAGTGGGGAGAGAGACCTTGCCAGGCACATGGGACCGGGCACTGCATCCCCTCTCTCTGCCAATTAGCCGGGGCACTTACAGGCTCACAGGGAGAAAGTCAGCTTCTGTAAAGACCCGCAGAAACAATTAGAAGAATTAGACTAACAGCTACACATGTATTGCACATTTATCTCCATTTCACTTTGAAAACAGTGCAGATTCCTGCCTTTCTTTGAGCTCAGACCTGTCAAAGCAATGTGCAGTGACAGCTGGGTACTTTTTTGATGACATTGGAAATGGGAGTCACGCATTCAATATTTGAAGTCTAATCTCCTTTCTTTTACATAAGCTACAGTTTTCAGTATTAAATGAGACATGTAAAGAAAACCCTTTTTATTACAAGAAGTTTTCTGAAAGCTTAATCTATATCCGATTTAAGATTTGTGAAAAGATGCCCTTCCCAAACCTGCAATTAATTACACAGCCAAGAGGAATAGTGGAATTCCCCACAAAATCATAAACCACCCCACTCCTCCAATTCGAAGACAGAAATAAAGACCTCGTGTCAAGCCATGTAGCATTGCATTGCATTCCGACAGCAAAATATAGGTTTTGCATTTCTTCTAAAAGCTGTGAATTCTTTGTCCAGGTAAAAGTTCTGGACGTTCATCTAAACCAGCTCTGCATAAGCCTCCATTCGTCACCCTCCCCACCCACGGAGAGCATATATACTCTATGAAACATGGGAGAGAAAAAAAGGCAGTAAGAGTTGGAAAGGTAGTGAAGACCTGTCAGAAGGAGAAAGAATACGCAGTAAACAACAAATAAAGCCAAATCAGAGCTTGATTGCAAAGGCCTAGATGAGCAAAGGTTTTAATGTAGTCCACAAACACACCATGAAACTTATGAACACAAAACCACCTAAAAAACACAGCTTAAGACAAACACAACTACCTTATTCGATACGAACGGGCACGAACGGGCCCAGCACAAAGTGCTATACTCTAGGATGCTCCTTTTTGGCTTCCTTAAAACACCTGATGGAAGTAAAACCTGTAAGTATGCACTTGTTTGGCAAAACATTCATGTATTAGCCATATTTACATTCTTGTGACTACATGTTATATCTGAATCACATTTCTGCACCTGAAGTTGCTTAGATTTTTAAGCTACATTGAAAATCAATCAAACTCCTACAGCTTAAATACAAAGCCTGTAGGTAGCTAACAGTCCATCCGAATCAGTGCTTAGATTGTTTTCAGTAGCAGGCGAGATGTGACAGTAAGGGGCTGAAGCATTTCGGTTTACAGCAGTCTTGAAAATGTTCATTCCAGCCCTCTGTAAACTTAATAGGAAGTAAAAATTACAACGCATCACACATCATTCCAGCCCTCTGTAAACTTAATAGAAGTAAAAATTACAACGCGCCACACCAGGCTACTAATACCATTGACAGCAATGACATATGGAAAGAACTTTGGTAAGAGAAGAACAGGTTACACAGTATGTGGAGAAGTTTGGTATTTTCAATTCATCTGTACCCACTAAGATACTCGGAAGACTGGCTCTTGCCATTCTTGCAATTCCAGAAACCTTAGCCACTGTCTTTGAAAACTCACGGTTCAGAGAGAGCGCGGTGACTGAAAAGGAGTGGGGTTGGTTGGTTTGTTTCAGGGACGAACAAAAGCAGTGGCTTGTAATTCCTCAACAATTTAAATTCCATTTTTTGGAAGAATACTGGAAGAAATGGATTGCAAATGCCAGAAGATAACGAATAAGTGATATGGATTCAGCTGGAATAAACTATGTAAAACCGATCTCCCCTCCTTCTCAGACAGCGTAAGAGGTGTTTTAATAAAGCTTTTACTACTTTCACATTTCACAGGTGAACTAAGGAACCAAGGACAAGTAAAACTACTGCTGAATACAGAGAGCAGCTGTTTAAAAAAACAGTAGCTAGGAGTTCACTATCAACACTGGGTGCATGTATTAACTGCAACTTTGCAGGCATCTGTTTTGGGCATCATTCCACCTCTTAATTAGCGACTTGGATGAAAAATGAAGGCCACATTTACTAAATTCACAAAGCAAATAAGCCAGAAGGATCTACAAATGCAGTGCAAGCCTGGAATTCAGAACCGCGCTGAAAAATTTAGAGAAGGTAGAAGCAATGTGTTAGAAAGTAAATACACTTTTGCATATGGAACCTGTAAACTGAAAAGCATAGGGTGAGGAATGACAAGCTGGTCAGCATTACCATAAGAAGGTATCGGGAAATTTTAGACCGTCACCAATCAAACAGGTATCAAATACTGGCTATTTGTTATGAACAAGGCAAATACCACATGGCAAAAGTTAACAGTATTGTCAGGAAGATCCAGGAAATTTCTTTTTGCCATAATGGAAGGCCTTGGATGAGGTACTTTAACTTACTTAAAACATTGGAATTCCCTCGGGCTGTGAAGCTACTGGAGAACATCTAGAGCAGAGCCGAAGCTTTTGTACCAATATTTCAATCTGTGATAAGCCCTGTTACATATCCACAATTAAAAATATACCTGCACTATACACACCGATGTAAAAATTAACTCCATTGATGCCTTATGTTTTCTAAGGACTCCTTATCATCTTAAAAATCTACTGGATTTCCAGCCTCTACAAACATAAGATCTACTGGATTCCCAGCTTCTACAGACTTAAAAGAGTATAGATTCTTCTCCATGTCCACTGTCTAAAGCATCTAACTCTTGTCTTGTAATTACAATGATATTTAGATAAGGCATCGGGGAAACTTTTTAAAAGTAAGTATGTTTAAGCAACGGAAAACAAAGCCCAGCATGGTCATGCAGTCTCCTCCATCTCTAGAGGTTTTTAAGAGCTGACTATATGAGCAATCTGTCAGGGACAATGCAGCTGATTCTTCACTCGGATTGTCAAAATGACCTCTCAGGATCACTTTCAACCTTCTTCTGTATGAGAGCTTTCAAACATTGTAGACTATGAGAGCTGTACTTCAGGCACTGCCACGGATTTATGAAAAATATATTAAAAAAAAACCACAAAAAGATTCAGAAATCCCACCGTGTTCCAAGTTAGCAAAAGATTTCAAACACTGTCAGATTTAACTGATAAAACCAAATTAAGGTACAAACTGTAACTTACCACATAAATTTCAACGGATTTAAAATTTAATTGAAAATTAACTCTGTGATCATTTTCTATTATCCTGAATATAAAAACAAAGCAGATTCACCTACAATAACATTTTTCCCATATACTAAAAGTGGTTAAGAAAGAAGAAACTGTGGGAGAGGAAATATTAGGAAGCATATCAAAGGAATAAACAGAATTTGAAGTGACGTTAATAGAAACAAATATGTGTAAGATTTTGGCTTTAAAATAGCTACACATAAAAAATTAATATTAAATGGTACTAGATACAAACAATTAGGAGATATAAAAGCATTTTCCTCAGTGAGAAGCCAAACAACAGAAATTACACTCATTACCGCAAAGCAAAACAGAATTTTATGCAAAGTTAACATAAACCCATTTCGCAATACAGAACATTAACTTAATGAAAGTGTAACGTGGAAATTAATTTGCTTCCAAACTAATGTCAAGTTTAAGTTATTATATTTAAATACAGTACATACGGAGTTATTTGAACAATAGTAATAACATTAATACAACGTTTTACTGTCTAGACTGGGAATAACGTGAGGCTCATAACTTGAACTTAAAGAGGTATCCTGCTTTTTGTGAGAATGTTACTGAAAGCTCAGCCACACAGTTACAAATGGGTCTTTGTTCGTCACATCTGTGTTGCAGAGTAGTAAAGGCTGTGAGAATGATCCTTTCTTAATAGGGTAAGCGATGCTAGGACTGCATTGCCACATGGTGCTGCACGTTTGCACTTCCCAAACTACTAGTTAAAAGACTCAAAACCAAGATGTCAAATGCATTTGCTAAGTTTTATCCTCCAGAAGAAAGATCTTCCTGAAAATATCAGTTCAAAGCAAATAGTCTACTTACTGTAAAATCAAAAAAGATTCCTCTTTGAGAAAACGAATTAATTTCTTAGAATTAAAAAATAAGGTATTAGCTATTTAAATCTTTGTCAACAAATACTGAGTGTAAGCAAATGCTGATTATATTTTTTTAAACATTCAAACTTCCTGTGCATTCAGAACAGACTTTTAAACACTGATCAACAGAGTATTCTTAATGTGGCTCATTAGAAGTAACATGGAAGAAATCGTCACTCTAAAATGAAGACTTAGAGATACAAAAAGAAAGTTTTCTTAATTAAACAACACATCATCAAACCCACAAAATAATACAGCATTACACTGCATAACCTAATTGTTAAAAATTGCAACCTTAGCAACACTTTTTCTTTTAAAATCCACATGATCGCCACTAGGAGTAACAGTTAACTAACTAACTACATCCAGCAATTACTGGTATTTTTTGATAAATTATATGTGAAAAATCCAAGTATCACAGTCTAATCAGGACATGCAATCAGTACCGGTCTGCAATTCCGTCTGCAGACCTGGAGAGAGGGGCGAATAACTACAAAGGGTAAGAAAAGTCATTTCACAATGAGCTGTAGGAAAGATGTGACAGACACAACTGAAGCACATTGCTCAGTTTGTTCAGGTTAGTAACAATCTCCCTTTTACTGAAAACATGGGACTTCACGCTCATGAGCCACAGAACCAGTTACACTTGCACACAGCAAAAGTATCTCCTCTAAGTGGATGTATGTAAGTGCAAGGCAATTTGACCACACAGAACCCAGAAATTTTATTCTGCAAGTCGTGGGACGCATTCTTGTTTATTATGTTTGGTAGTCTGACACACTTGAGTAACTTAAACTAAATTTTAGTTCAGATGATTCCATTTGCTTGCAATCATCACTATACTTACTTGACAGCCTGGTAACCCCGTATCTCTACCATACAATGGAAATGGACCTCTATCTGAGGTTTTTCCTATAAAAGAAAGACATTTGAAATTAGGTTCTTGAAAAAAATCTGCTAGATATCTGCATCACTTATGCTTTATATATGCAATCCAGAAAATCTGTTAGCATCATAGTAAATTTACAAAAATTAAGTTGCATGAATAAAAGTAGGCTTTTGTACATCTGCATTCAGCACACTTAAACAGCACTACTGTAACAGATGACATACTTACCAAATTCCATTTCTTATGTAACTGATCAGTGAAAAAAGAACTACTGCAATTTTTTATTGTTATAAAATACATCTATCAGTATGTTTAAATAAAAAGAGTGAAGGTCCAGCTTCACTTCCATTATATCAATGCGCAAAGGTAGAGACACTTTCAGACATTTCTCCTTCCTACATGCAAGTAACACAGCTGGTATCATCTTAGGTGATAAATATATTAAGCAGTAAAATAAAACCAACAAAACCACAGGAAAAGTGAACAAAAACTTCGATTCAGAACAACGAGAAAACCCACACCAAACTTAAGCCATGGCTGAATCATTCAGCTCTTGACACTCATTGCTTAAATCCTTAACAAAATCCCTTCACTTCACGTACATTCCAGTTGGGTACACAAGTCAGGCAATACAACTGGTCAGGACGGCAAAACAGACTCTTCTCTCCTGCAGTACACGTACTATCTGCCTGTAGGTAGCACTTAGTGCATACAGCGCCTTGTGCAGAGTGCCTGCCCCCCGATGCTGCTATCGAGGTCACAAGACATTAGTAACATATTTGTCAGTTCCAGAAAAACTACTTACTGCTGCGTTTGTTGGTTATGCCACCAAACTGGCACCTTTGTCTATTAAAACTCAGTGTGAAAGTTCTCCAGTAGCACTCAGAAGTTTACCAATCAACACTTTAAAAAAAAAGGTCCTGAATAGAAATCTCTGCTGAACAATGTCAAGAAGCAGACAGTCATCAGGTACGTGCGTAACAGAGAACACCGAGTGCATATGCCTGCCCTAGTTATCACACAGTTAGAAGAAAGAAACACCCTGTAACACCACTCAGTCTTATCCAAAGGTAGGCATCGATAAACCACAATACCTCTCTTTTTGAAAATAAACGTCATCTTACCCAGCTAGGCATTTCCTTTTCTAAACAATGCCTGTACCATCCAGTCCTCATAAGAAGAAAAAGCAGCCTTTCTTACCCATTCCCATTGCAGCGACAAATGGCTCCATGCTAGTGCAACTGCACTTCTAGAATAGGACTTGCTTTGCTTTTTCTGATTTTCTCTCTTACTACCAAAAATTCCTAAAGGTCACTTTGTAAGAGGAACAATTAAAGTACGCTTATTGTTCATTTAAAAGGTACATCTTGTGTAAGCAGAGAGGAAGAGGAAGTTTGACTCTCTTGGAACAACATCTCTGCAAGATTATCATCTTGATAACTACAGGTAGTCTGGTCAACAACAGTTTGCTTGGAAAATGGCAGCTCTGCTGTAACAAAGGGAGGAAAAAAGTTAACATTTTTCTGCTGAAGCAATTTGCCTCTAACAACTATCAGGCACCAAGCAAATAAAATACCTAGCATGCAAAATTATACGAAGTAGGATGAATCATGCTGTTCATATTAAACCAGACTCAGCATTTTCTTCCCAGAAAATGAGAATCTTATACCACATGATAAACAACTTCCACTGAAGTATGCAGTATTCCAGGCAGGCTTTAAAACAAATATTTGTACAAGAGTCAATTACAGAGGCTAGAAAAATTATGATTTAAATTATGGTTTGTGTAGCAAGCAAGAAATTGTTAGATAAGAATGCATAAAATCATGTTATTTAAATGTTATCACTTAAAAAGTTTGGCAGGTTCATACTAAAGGAAAAAAGCTGACCAGTATAGCCTAATCTATACTACATTTGGTTCTAAGAAATGATCGAGAAAAGTCAAGCCCCTCCTGATGCTGCACTGCCTAAATATTTATCAAAAATTGGAGCTGGAGCAAATTAACACTTCACCTGTGTTCAAACGGTTAAGCTTTCCAGTGAAGGGTATGGAAAGCAACCCAGGATCAAGTACAAGATGGTGCCTTTCATAGGGCGGAGTCTCCCAAACACATCCAAGGGCAAGCACTTAGCTATGATTCTCCAACCTGCCATAGTACCAGTGTTAAAGGCACACATTTTTAAACAACAACTGCAAATCAACAGGCACACACTACCTAAACACACGGCAAGTCCACACTCAAGTCCTGTTCCTGGTTCTCTCGCCCTGTGGAACCTCTCCCTGCTGTCCCTTTTGCAGGACCGGAGCGCTGTTAGCAGCAGCACCTTCCCGCTGGCAGAGCAGAAGGTGGTGAGCTGTCCCCGGCACCGCCGCAGCACATCTGCTGCACAGCTCATGAGAGAAGAGGAAGGACTCCATCAACAGCCCCTGAAGCTTCACTCACACTACATCAAAAACGTTTCCCAGCGTGGTGCTGTCTGGCAGTATCCCAGGATGGCTTCACTACCACACAACAGGAAGGTGAAAGAGTTGCGACTGCAAATTGCCTGTTGGCATTTCAACTCACCTCAGCTGCTCCCATCGAGGCACAATGCTATTCTCGCTATTCAAAGCCTCGTAAGCAAACTGTCACAGGTAGTGGTTACTTATCAAGAGAAAGAGAAAATACTTAGCAACTACTCCACATAGTAAGTGAGTTAAGTACTTGAAAGGTGGGTAATATCAAGTTTGAAAAGACTACACCAGTGTTTATGAGCACGCAAACTTCAAAACCACAGTGAGAGCGAAAGCCAAAGCAGACCCCAAAGTGTCTTGCAGGTTTACCCCCTCAGATTTGCTGTTGAGTACGTTATAACCGCTGTCTGATCATATCCTCACCCTCTCTCAAGAGGGTCTTGTCTCAAGTCAGTGCTCACTACGCAGAAGGTAATAGTATTATTTTTTTATTATAGCTGGAAATTCAGAAAATTTGATGCTCAGCATTAAGAGGACACGAGGAAACACATTATGGCACCTGACATTAACTGGAAGAAGGAGAGGGGTATGCCATAACACTATTAATGACAAAATCCTCATTGAATGTTTTCATGTGCACAGGCTCGTGTAAACTTGGCTCTAAGGCAGCGTGTAGACATACCGTCTGGGAAGGTAAAGTAATGCCCAAATGAAGTTTACTTCCTCTTCAGATCCTAGTTTATTTTCACAAAATATTCATGAGAAGTAAAACAACTGTGGCCATTTTTTTTAGGCCTGACACTTCCCGTCAGATCCGTGCAGCAGGACTTCCACAGGGGGCTATTGTGAATCATCAGCTCCTTCATCACCTTTATCACGTACCTCCTAACTCGCGTGTTTCAGAAGTTAAGCACTGTCATTTTAGAAGCAAAATCTATGCCTTGCTTACAAAGTAGCATCATGGTAAACTTTTCTTCAGGTTACACATTGGTGGCTCTATATCGCAGAGTTCTGTCTTCCAACCAGATTTGAACTAAAGCAACAGACATTTAAAAATAATTAGGTTGGTTATATACAGAAATCTTGAATCTGCACAGATCAGCTCACAAGGTATTTGAATCTTTTAATAGCTTGGAATGAGTCTGTATTTTTTTTTTACTTTATTTTTAGTAAGTTTCATGTGTTTTCATCAACAAAAACTTTAATAACCTAACAGCTACCTACCAGGCTTAAAGCCCAAGGTCTATGGAGTTAAAAGAAACCAAATCAAGAAAATGCCACTAAGCATTTTGAACCACAAGGATTTCCTAACTTCATAAACTTAAAACCTTGACACATTCTGTACCAATTCAAATATTAATAGACATTTAGTAAATAATTATTTTTCTTTTGCAATCACTTGTCTAAATGTGATATGCTCACAACTTAATATAGCTTTTGAATACTGCACAAGGAATTGTATTCCATAATAAATCTATCTGTACAACAGCTGTGCAGCCTAAATACTCTCCACACAGAATGAAATGAAACAGCGAGATGCAAAGCGAGAGTGAGCTGAAACCAGCACTGGAAGAGCACTGACCCAGCTGAGGAGCACTCCAGTGACCCTGCTCTGAATGCTTGCCAGGAGAAAACCAGCCTTCTCCCACTGCTGCTAGATACTGCTTGGTTTATGAGAGGATGACAGAACATAACTCTGCAAAAAATTACTTCCATTCCCACAGAATTAACCTTTTGCAGACTGAAGATCTTTCTGGGCATTGCTAGGAACACATCCCGTTGGCAACATGGAAAGCACCAACACTTGGTACGGAAGCAATGCTGCTCCTCCAGCATGAAGACCCAAATGAGGGTGGCCAGCAGCAGCCCTGTGTCAGGCACGAAGCCTGTCTGCCCCACTCGTGCAGAGAATCGCCTTGCCGTGGATCTCGAGGCATGCGTTTAGAGTTCCCAGTCACCATTTCATCGCTGGTAACTGTTAACCGGTCACAACAGACAGCCCACCCAAAAGGCAGTTTGTTACAAAACATTGTGGATACTTCAGAGGATTTTTTTTTTTTTTAAGTTATTAAACTGGTGTTGGTTGATTTGGCTGAAATCAATTTTTATACTGCTTTCTCCCCCTCCAGTAACAAAGTATCCAGCAGCAAAGTATGTGCCTTTGTTACCCACAGAATTAATGCATTCAAATAATTTTTCATATGCGGATCCAATACAAGAAGGAACAAGCTGCACAAGCTATACTGACAGGTGCACGTGGATGATGCAGGAAAAACACTCAAAGTAAACATTCTTTCTCCAACTCTTAATATCACTCTCCAACTTACCACAAAGTAGAAATAAAGTACGCAAAGTTTATAGAATAACATCCTTGCTGCCTCCAGTACAGGTCCATTGTTTGTTTGCTTGTTTGTTTTTAATTTTGTTGGTGTTAAAAATTCTTACTCGGCAATTATTCAGTATGGTGAAAAAAATTTACGTTTGATTAAAACACAAAACCAGCCCTGCTCCTAGGATTTGGTGTGCTGCCTTCTTCTTCGAGGCAAGGCTGACTTACACATGCAGCCA